CCACCGCCTTGTGTGCGATTGATTCTCAAATACAGCGTGCTTGTGTTTTCCTGTGAAGGAGTGTGCGCCGGCTCCGTTGATGAAACGTGGTTCCCATCCACATGCCTCCCCGTCTTATTCCTTCGAGTTTACACTGGAGATGGGGTGTGCGGATGAAGCTGTGGGTGGCGCAGCGCAAGCCACCCATGGTCCCCATGTATGCGCAGACCTCCTGTGGTTCGCCACAGTGACATGCAAAACCGAAACCGGATGCTGCCATCCATACGCGATGGTGATAAACAACTGGGGCTATAGCCGTTCAGCAATCGCCTTGAGATTCCTATCATTATACTGCAGCTAGTAGGATACAGTTGTTGTGCACATTTATTTTAGATTAATTGCTTCGTTAAATGTTAGTTTCGTTTCTTTAGTAATGCGTACCATAATGCAAGCTGCTTTCACAGACACGCTTGATTACCTCATGAATTGGCACGTCGTGTGAACGAAGTACAGACGCTTCGAGACACGCTTTACCCGGGCATTCAAAGCTAATTTCGCAATATACCAGCTGGTTTTCACAAAGCGTATGCTGTCGTCCCATTGGGCATCCGTGAATGCACAAAAGATAAAGTGAAGTTAAAGTTGAGTCAGTAGCTTCAGCGGTACACGTCAGTATCCAACGCTGCTCCACTTCTACGGAACATGTTTTATTGTTTATCGAAACACCTAAGTCTTTAGTAACTACTGTTGTTGCCTAAAAGTGGGCATCAAGTAAAAGGAATTGTTTTCATATATTGTTCTTTGTCAACGTCAGTAGCTATATGTGTGTTTATGATGCCACAGCAGCAGGTAAAATGTGTTCCTGTTTTCTGTTTTGTAGTGCATTAAATGGCACACTTGCCAATCTGTGTTAAGTTAGGAAACCAGGCTGGTTTGAATCCTTTGACAGCTCCGGGGCACATACATGTCTTGAGTTTGCACTGGTGGCTTTGCAGCTGTAATTGCGGAACGTCGGTCAGTCACGAGAGACGGTAAAGCTATTCCGAAAGCATTACTTGTTTACTACAGGTTATGTGGCTTTGTATTAATGCGTGCTATTCTAATTCCTTTATCTTGTATTATCCGGGGTAAACTGCCCATGTTGCCTGTGTGCACCATTCACCAAAAGGTAATTTCTTTTCACAATAGTGGCGCACTGTGTATCGTTTTGGACCTCCTATCTTCCTTTGTGTTTCATTCGAGCCGCAATTCTTGGGAACATGAATTAGGGTTCTCTGATTTTGAACATTTATGTACTACGAAAAAAGAAGTTAAAAATCGCAAAAGATTTCATTTTCTAAACTTAATAATTCATTATTCTTATGCAATTGCGCGGCTAAACTTCATTCCTTCATGCTGAACTCAGATCAAACGTAGATTATACATTGGCGGAGGTAACTGCAACTAGACGAAGTTTTTGTGTGAATACATTAAACCTGAGCTCAAAGCTTTTTACTAAATTAGTGATATTCGTCCCAACATTTTTAACATAGTCGGTCGGTGGCAACAAAACGGCCACGCAAGGCCCTCCTACATTTAATTTGGGGGACATTTTTTGTCAATCGGGTTATGCGGGATTGTTCGTGATGAGAACCATGAAGTACTGTATCTTGCCTCCTTGAGAAAGATAGCATATTTTCATTTAGCAGTTTAACGAACCCTATAGTACTCTTACCATTAAACATACATTCCCAAATAAATAGCTTATTTCTGTTTTATTTTTTAATATAATGAAATGAGGTTTCAGCGGATATTAAAATCGGAGGGGCTAAAGCATTTGCAAATGCGTATAATATACACAGTTATATTTGCGCTTGAATACTTCTCCTCTATTCCAACCCACGCCAATTTTCTGATCACAAAAGATAATTTCGCTAAAATGTGTGTTTCGGTAGCAATGATTGGTCTACCTCTAAGCACTCTCAAACTTTAAGAGCGCAAGAACGAACAGCATTTATGCGGGATAACCTGAATTCAGATTACTTCGTGTCTTCTCATTCAGTTGCTTACAGACAAATCGTGGAAAGAGTAAAGGAATGCAAAGAGGGACTTATCGATGCAAAAACTAAGGCGGAACTCCGCCCCCGAGGCTCAAGACTTCAACGTATGTATGGATTGCCAAAAATACACAAAGAAGGGGTCCACTGCGTCCTATTCTTTCAATAGTTGCGGCGCCGCACCAGAAACTGGCATGATGGTTGGTAAAGCGACTCGAGCCTGTATGTGCTGAGCTAGCGGTGCACAGTCTAAAAGACACTTTTGTGTTCGTTGACAAGTTCGATACTTGAATGTTCGAGTCGCGACTCCTGCGCTGACCCTTGGTGTGGATCTGCTAGAAATCGTTCAGAAATTCAACTACCTGGGAAGTTTTATTAGCACCCTTGTGATTGAAGATGAGATCAGGAACAGTATATCAAAAGCTTGAAAGGCTTTTGCTGACCTTCGCCACCTATGGCGGCGGCGCGACCTTACTTTTGCCCTGTAGCGTAGAGCGTACAATGCAGCGGTACGTTCGACCCTACTGTGCGGTTGCGAAACCTGGTCCCGAAGATCGGCGGACATGAAGAGGCTAGTTACGTTCGACCATCCGTGCCTTCGCAATTTGGCTCACATCTGGTAGGAACACCACGTGAGTAACGCGCGTATTCGACGCTTTGTTTACGGCACAGGAAAAGGAACGGAATTGCTCAGCACCGTCATTTCACGCACAAGACTCCGATGGCTGGGCCACGTGTTGCGCATGCCAGCCCAACGACTTCCACGTCGTGAGTTGTTTGCTCACCGGTGGTGTGGATGGAAGAAGAGGTGGGGTGGCCAAGCGATGACTTGGTCCAGAGGAATGAAGGCCCTCACTTCGGAGCTGGATTCGGTTGAAGCGTCACGGCTCTCTGGTTGGGGTCCAAAAGACGGTGAATACGTGTGTCTGGATACACTTGCTGATATGGCTAGGAGCCGACCTCAGTGGCCTTCCTGCTCTAATTTTATTTGTCCCTCCCCATCCCTTTTAGCCTTCCCTCCACCTACGATATCATTTCGTAGCGTAAAACAGAATACCTTTTCTTTTTGCTTAGTAACCGGCTGGTAGCTTACTGGAACGATGCCTATCCGTTGCTGGTAGCGCAGCTGGCATGCAACTGTTGTATTTATTTTACTTTTCCTTTATGAATTGCGGCACAGGAACTGAGGGGTTTCCTACCTCTAGCTGACGTGTATAATGATGATGATGATGTTTGGGGACTTGTACTAAACAACTGTAATAGCAAAGCACATCTATTTTTTAGAGAATAATCAGCGGAGGTAAAAATGGAAGCATTTAACTTTTTGTAATTATGCACTTTTGATTCCTAGTAAACTTGTAAAACCTTTTTGGAATGCCTTGTTTTACCCTATCTATGACTTTAGCTTACCTGCCTTATTCCTTCTCCAAACCTGATGCACCTATCTATGCTTTCTTACGGTTGGCCATTTTGAAAACCGCCTCTGCAATAACTAGCATATAAATGCTATTTCTGAGGCTTGTACTACTGAATTCTCTGGGTACTTGCATACTCTTCCTTGATTCGTTCTACTGAACGTTTATTTACAATCTTCGCTGTTGCCCGTGTGTGCGCGCATCGCCGATCAGCACAACCAGTCATCCGCAATGTAACCAACCATACGCTGGCTGCTGCTGCCTTTTCATTCGGTTATTTAGTATGTGGTACAATTTACTACGTCCGATCCTTGGGACACATTATATTTTTGTACACCGCAGGTCCCCATATACTCTTCTCTCAACTAGTCAACGTGAAATTGCATGCACATCTGCCGATATCTTATCCGGCTTGAATACTAGAATTAAGGTCGTAAGTTTGGTTACATTGATCAACAGTAATCTGTTTTTGACGTGTAATTTGTTTACCACTTAGACCACTGGACAAGCAATCTTCATGCACAACCCGTCCAAAAGCTTTCAAGAATATATGTTAGGTTGTGGTAGAGCGTAGTTTCTGTTGTCTGTTGTGGGTCATGTGTTAGCACTACGTCGCGAAAGCTGCAAGTGTATACGGGTCCACTTTGTAATACATGATTCTAAACGACACATGTAGCCGAACTGATCGAAATTTATTATCAAGCAGCGCAGTGTCCCCGAGCACCCTTGAGCAACCCCGATGAAAGTATTGCTGATGGTCAGACCTTAAGCTTCCAGCATGTTAAAGTTGTGCAAATGTTTTGCGGATGCCATGGACTGACTCTGTGAAGTACATAATAATATCAACCAGCGCACGACATTGTTTTGAAGCAAGTTTAATGACCAATATTGACGAATTACGCTGGTTATTCCGTACGTCATCAACAGCTTTTTAGTAGAATGTATACCTTTAGTAGAATAGTTAACACCTATTCAAGAAAGTTATCACGTGCTTTCATTTTTTCCATTGTTTCGGAAAACCTTAGACACTCTGGTGTTATTTACAGTGTTTAAGAACAGACAGAACAATAAATTATGTAGCGTTATATCCAGGAAAGCACACCGCTTTCAACTATCGCTCAGTGGTACTGGATTTCGGCGTCAATATCTTGTGCTTTCGTTTCCTTCTTGTCTTGGATGATGTGTACTACCGACGGGTCTAAGTTGCAAAAAGAACCGTCTACTGTTTCCGCTGTTGTGCAATTGTCTCTTCCAAAAGTGTTAGAAAAGCCGCAATTATTACAAATTAACGAATTAGTAGAAGGACAGCATAAGTAAAAAGCCACTTATTATTAAATGTAAAACAGAGTTCGAAATAATTTGCTAGAACTATCTCACGTTTATGGGTTACCTAACACCAGCTTACATATTATAAAACAAACTGTTCCGCGGTAGGAAAAGTTATGTAAATACTAAGTTTTATTTTAAACCGATCACATGTTTTATTCAAAAATATTGAAAATGTTTCAATCAGTGCAATGCCCAATGAATGTATGTCAGCTCCATTAGAGATGTTTCACCGCTTTTTAAATCAATAACAAGCACAACTCGTTTTGATCGCTCGAGGCCACACCGTCTTTTCTAGATTGTCCTTGTCGACTGCCACATAAAAGGTAAAACTTGCAGTTGCATTTGCCGAACAGCAAGGCATATAACCGTCGATTTTCTGTTTGTCGGTAGCGGACAATGAGCGATAAAAATCGTTAAGCAATACATTGTGGTAGTCACCTGTTAGCCCGGCTACATCTGTAAAACGAAGGAACGGAGAAGTGGCATCAGTTGAAGCGGTAAAAGCTATCTTTGACTCACTTGATAACATGTAGCTACATGTCAAATTGTGTAGTACTCATATTCTGTGCCAAATTGATTATATTTTATGGCGCTGTGAACTATTTCAAGCGACTACCACCATTTGCCTAATATGAAAACATTTGGGTTAGTGTCAGCTGAACTAAATTAAAAACCTTAGTGATTACAGATTAGTCTGTCATGAAAAATCCAGTCAGGTTTATTTTGGATAGAGTTATCATGACTATGATGAGCGCTGGCAAAATATCCTACACCAACTGCAAATGTCTGGCCTAATAAAGCATACACCGTACGTTGCTGTCGAATCATTTATGAAGGCACAAATGAATAACCTGCAAGACAGCTTTTGAGTGCTCAATTTTCATTGCTTAGCAAACCAAGTTCAAATAGATATTAATCAGTATGGGTGGTACACACATTCAACGTGCTCTTCTTGGCCTCGCACCAAGAACACACAAGAGAAATTCACCTATCATTGCAGATTCTGTCGCCGAATTTCATAAAGAAGGAACACAGTGTGAAAACATGGCCACTAATGTTGACTTTGCTAGTTCCTATCTAGTGGTAGCTGCGTTCAGCAATCGTTCGTCAGATTCTAAGGTAAATTTCGTAAACAGGCTCACAACTTATAAATGCTGGATACCAACAACATTACAGAAACATAAAAACGACAGTAGTTCCTAATTCTTTAATTGCAGACTTTTTTAGCGTTGAAATAATACTTGCTATGCCAAGATGATGAAAACCACAGAGATTAATATCAATGTTGTTCTATCATAGGTTGTATTCAATTCTATCAATCGGCAACGAAAAGAGAATTGGTATGGATCGAACGACTACAACCATTCACCGATCACTTAAAGCGATACCACTGTACCACCAGAAGCTAAGCAATCTATCTACATCTCTGTGGCTTAATTGTATTGCAGTTTATCAACGTATAGTTCACAGCTGCATCTACACCACTCTGAATTCTTCGACTGAGGATGCTGCTACCATCAGTGCCGGGAAAGGTTTTTATCAGTGCTATCTCACTAACAAAATAACAACATTGGATGTCTTTTGTCTGCTTAAAATATATTTTTACATAAGGTCTTCTTTGCTATAAATACGACTTTTATGCTGAATTGTTATTAAACCCACTACATCAACCAACTTGCTTAATTGTAACCTTGCATTGAAATTTATGGATGCAAGATCTGGATTTAGGAAAATTTATTACAATACTACAATCTGCCTTCAACATCAAAAGAAAGCTCAACCTAAAACTAGTTCCTCAACAATTCATGTACTTGATTTTCCGGTTACATCTTCAGCATTTGGTAAAATATTCCAAAGGTGATGTGCTTTTTCTATTCAGTAAGCTTTGCCTAACGACTGCACAGTTCTTCCCTCCAATCTATCACGCCACTAACCCATTTGATTGTAACCAATAGTGCTATTTATGGCTCAAATGATACAAGTGCCTACTCATTGAAATTGTGAACGAGAAAACTTTACATAGATTTCACAAAGCAGTAGACACCACAACAGTTTAACAAGGTCACAAGTGGTACATTAAGCTCAAAACTGCGCAAAAGGTGAGTTACAACTATGGAGGAAAATGCTCTAAGAGCGGCATGAAAGCAGCAAATCCCTGCTATTCTTAGTGGTGGAATCAACAACTGCTCTATATGATTTACGATACTAATAGATGCATATTACAAAAACTCTTTGTTGAACCAGTTGATATCTACTAGGCTTTTAATACTTGCTTTGCCCATACCAAATAGTTTTTATTAATAACAGCAATGGTTTGAGAAATTTGACTATTTGCTGTTAGTACTATTCGGCAAGTATTAGAAAAAATGTATCATATAAAATACTACAGCAGGATTTAAGATGTCATTAAAAAGCGACTGCCGTAATTATATCCATTAATTGTTGCAAACTGGCTTGTTTCAGAAAAAAGGATTCCAAAAATGCACGGAGCTATTCAAATATTAAATTCACTATTCATGAAGTTCCAGATGAACGCCACAGTAAAACCATTTTCACTCCTAAGTCCATAAAATTCAATTGCTACCATGATGACTTGCAGACGGTAAAACTTTCCATTGCTTTTTTACCCATGTTCAAATCAACCACACTGTCCTACATCCACTTTAATATGTATGGCCTAATATAGTATTTGATATCAACTCTTTTTCTTTTATGTCAACCTTATAACAGCTACAAAAGAAAAGATACAAACATTCTCATTATAATTACTAGGAGCTAATCATTAACAGTTTAAAGCATTTTAAAACACAGCTTTATTTGCCGTATTTGATGTGGAAATGAGCACGTATATGCGCGACATGCGTACACAAGCTTTATCAATTCACTAATGCCAATTAAATAAACGACAATATCATTCTTGAGGCAAAACCGTACTAGGTTACCAATACCAATGACTTCGACTGACGGGTTATGTTTGTACCTTTACCTGATTATGTGTATATAAGATGTTAAATTTAGGTTTCCTTAGTTATTAGAGAAGTAGGCAACTTACCTGTCCCGTTAGTCTAAAATACATGTATGACATCCGTCCTTGAACTGAAAGAACATTCGGGGAGTGCACTGGATAGGTCCACTTCTCGACGCCCATCCACACACTCGACGCACGGTCACATCTTCTTTACCTAGCTCTCCTCTGGTGCCTTAATTTTAGCCTTAGCCACCTTAACGATCGGCCAATAAAGCTTTCTAGCTTATTTTCGTGTTATCTTCGGTGTGCTCTCAATTGGTCGTTTAGCCGCCAAGAAGATCTATGGCCCAAGATCGACACGCTATTCACAATTGGTAGGTAAACACGATTATACTGTTGCTAAAACGGTCTCAGTAATATGCTTGCACGTAAGCACGTTGCTCAAAGGTTGGATTCTAACAACATTTAGTTCGGTTGCTTTTTGCAAAGAAATAAAAACACTTAAATACGTAGAATTTCCTATTTGTCCAGTAGAGGATTCCGCTTACCTTCAGGCTGAAGCAAAATATATTGGTATCCACTATTTTGTTTACAATTACAATTATTATTGGACATACATCAGACACACAATAACATCTTAATAAACTTGCATACAAGAAAAGACACATAAACCATGGGCATAAAATACTGTCATTTATAGGGTGGATGATGTTCACTTACCCACACATCGTCCGTGACACATATTTAGCGGTAGATATTTCGGATATACGATAAAGTCTAGACCCCGATTTTCTCTCATCTGCATAACATCCAGTGAGTACTTAAAAAGACAACATTTGGCGGAATCACGCTGTGGGTTTAAAAAGCTTGGACAAGCCGGATCCTCTGGAAACCCATACAACGAACGCGGAATTAACTTGCGAGTGGTATATTTATTGATCACATCTAAAACCGACTTTGTGTAGAGTTCCAAGGTAACTTGACTGTCTGGCCAAAGGATACTGGGGCAATTGATAGGCTTCTTCCAATCCTGCCAATAAACATAAGACCTTGCTTTTTGGTTGGCAGGTGGGCAGTCAAAAGTAAATGTTAACGGGTAACGTTTTTTAGCGCGACGCTTGCTTATTGCTGCCAGGGTTCCCGTAACATTCCGACGTAGGTACGTTCGTTGATTACGACCTCCCGGAATAAGGTGGGAAACTTTGGTCGCATTTCCGACATCAGCGTCACTCATGAAGGTTATATTCATTTTTAAAGCAACGGAACTTGCGCCAATTAGCAGTCCTCTGATGCTCAATTTCTTGTATGCAACCACAGAAAGTATGGCGTAGACCACCGGTTCTTGTGGCAAATCAGCTTCATCATTCAAGGCAGCACAAGCAACAACCGGACCCTGTGCGTGGGGCTGACAGTATCCTTTAAAGGAATAAACGAATATCCGTTGCTGTGGTTGTCAACACTTCATCAAATAATAAATGATTTATTTCTTATTCAATTATACTAACTTCGACAATGATATCAGAGTGCACGTGTTCATCATGTGCTTCATTATGCATCTATATACATGGTTGTCGTCAGTTCCATTTTGTTAAAAGTCTTTGCAACTTGCATGCAAATACGTATGTTATTAAACCTTGAGATATTTTGCGCACAGTTTTAATCTACTGCCATAAGGAAAACACAGTAAAACAATTTATCTGTCACCAGAAATACACAAATTCCATTACACATTCCGCAGTTAAAGGATAAAAACAATACTTAATTTTTACAAATAACGTGTTTATGTCCAATTTTCCTGCGTTTAGGCCCCTTTCATTGGATAATTTTTGATTATATTATGCAATTGATGTTATGCACCATCTGTTTGTGTTTTAAAATTGTGCATGGTAGCGGATGTGACTCGTCTCCAACTAAAGTTACAGCACCATGTTTACCCAGCCAACCACATTCCCAATACGGACATCAATCCTCTCTTATCACGTTGTCCACGCGACCAATCACAAGTGAGGCGGCACACGAATACCTACAAACATGGACTCCCATATACATTCATAAACTCACAGCACCAATGTTAATGGCAAACCTGCACCAATTTATATACGTTCCCCGACTTTTAGTTGTAGCCTTATCTTGATCAGGCCTATACATGCATGTCACGCATTGTTCAAAAATAAAGAATTTTTTATTTACTTGTGCTATATTAACTAACAATATCTTGGCGGCTTTTCAACCTGCTATACTGTATGGCCACTTTCGAATGGTGGCCTCTCATTGAGCTGCGAGTGCGTTTTAATAGGTGGCAGTTTGGTTGGTTTGACTATTTAAATTTCTGATATCCATTCGCAACATAACCTAACAGCCAAAGACATATTGCACTGAAATAATTTGTAATTATCGGTATAATTTGGTAAGTAAAATGCAGCGTCTCTTTACATTTTTCTTGATTAGTCAATGAAAGTTTCCAAAGCAGCCAGGAGATTCTACCAAAGGTGTGGTTCTTGGATTGGTAGTCAAACGTAGGCACTAAGAAGTTGCAAAAGACTGCGGCATCAAACCAGCCAAACCCAATCGGCTGTAGTCACGAATGTTAACTTGCTTTTCTTGGTAATTTTTTAGGCCGCCTCGAGCAAACGCGTTTGCAGTAAGTGCATGCATCAAAGTCAAATTCATAGCAAACACCTTGCAGTAGGTGCTATGCTGTGAACTAATAGTAGGCTCCCTGTTTTGGATACCAATTACAATACACTCGTATTATATAACAATCTTATTCTGTAAGATGGCCTTATGTAAGCCTTGTAGAGTTCATTAGTGTGTTTTAGGTCAAATCGCTGTTTTCGGTAAAGACTCGTCACAGCTAGACTTTAATAGAAAGCCAAAACATTTCTAGGAAAATGCTAGACAGCAATTTCTTCATCTTGGGTGCCGTCAATGGGGCGCTTCCACAGAAACCTGTCGGATTCGGACGCTTGACATACTTCTTCAGGCCAACAATTTATCCCGCCGTCACAGGTGACAGTGCTTTCGTTCGACAACTGATATCTAACTGCGATATAGCGCGGCTCATCCTCCACCGTCATGCAGGTTGTAAATATGCCGACGAAGACAGGGTTTTCCTCCACAGCTATGACATCTTTTGCAAGCCGCTACTAATCTAGATGACACAGAAACTGTTAAGACGATTGTAATCTTACTTGCCACTCACTAATCATCGGTAATCAACGTAACAACTTTTACCTGCTAGCTTGTTGGCGGCTTGCAAAGGAAGTCGTTGTTCTTGGGGCCAGTAATTTCTTCGGCACATTCAAAACATGAATAGCGGTTGAGGATGGGCTGCACTATATTGCAGTTAGATAGCAGTTTGGGCGGCCCGCCGCCATCACTCAAAGCTCAGTAGCATAAGTGGCTGGCCCGAGAAAGGACGGTAATGGGTTCGAATCCAGAAGTATTCAAGAATCGTGCGATATTGATAAGTCCTATTTTGAAGAAACGGCTGTCTAACGCTTTCCTAGAAGTGTGGTGGTTGTCTGGCTGAGTCTTATTTTACCGTACTTTCTCCAGTGGAGTTTGTCTTGCAGTAACTTGTGGCCATCTGAAAAACTAATGGCCCAAGAAATGTTGAGATGACTCGACATGAGTAGATGGTTTGTGCTGACCTTTCGTGTGAATGCTTTTCTATCACCAGAGATCGTCTTGGACTTAATACCTAGCATTAAGGAACACAACGACGCACCCCCACCGTGTCGTTAAAGAACTCACATATTAACACGGATTTGGACTACGAATGTGCTTTAATAGTTTTGCTAATCCCATAACTCAGATACTTGCAACTAAGAATGCAGTAATTCAACTTCTTAGACTTCTTTAATAAAATCCAGGTAGGTTGTGTTAAAATGTAAAAACAGCAACAAAAGTATCCGTCCAACCGATATAAGCTAACAAACTTTTCTGCTGCTTGACTGGTTTCGGCGAATACGTTTCCGCTTCGGAACAATAGCACGGTATATTTCCAAACATTTTATAAATCAAGCTGTAATGAGAAATGATATCATCTTAACAAACAATAGCGAAACATTAACCATACGTCAGTTTGCGGGTGTAATTTCATTTGCCCCCTGTAAAATAGTTTGTGCATATTCACGGTTTCACACAGTATTAACATGCAGGGCGTCGAGACATGAGTAAAAGAACCGAGACAACGGTTCAGTCAAGCTCGAAGGAAACTAGCTTCAATGATCGGAGTCGTTTGCTCTCCGAACTAGGTGCAATTTGTCTTGAGGTGAAAACATCCTCTTAAAGGAACTCGCGGTAGGGATTTAGGCATGACCAAATCATGGTAGTAACGAGATCTCCTTCAGAAGGTTTTTCTATGGCTGTGCATATTGAGAATAAAAATCAAGTTATTATCTAAGAGTGTTGGATGCTTTTTGAACGGTTTCACTTATCCACAAGCGCTATGTAAGCGAATGATCTTTTACTGCACTTTATGCATTGTGATGAAATGCCTGATTAATTTCATGGATAGTATGATCAGAAAAGAACCCACACTTTATAAATTTGCACAAGTACTTAACACTGCCACGGGTAAATGTATGTTAGAATCTAAGTTAAACTTGTGCTATGCTTCAATTAAAAACGAAATATAACTATTTACAAATATTTAGGATTTTAAAACACCGCGTCGTTGTCAATCCTTTTATGCGACATGCTCGTTTCATTTCCAGCGCACCTCGTCCATTTCCCCTGGTCATTCGCTTTAGGACACATATGCTCTCTTTTTGTCTGTTTGGAATATTTCTTATACTCTCTACCGAGCCGGAATCTGCTTGTTTCACTTTGTATTCCATCAATTCTACGGAACAAACGTGTATGAGACATTTAATTAGCAATGATACGGGGCTTAGAGTGTACGTTAGCTCAATCACTGTTGAAACTGATCATGTGCTCGACTGGGTTCTGGATGCATTCCTGTCTTCTGGTCGTGTGGATGCATTTGTTTGTTGTCCTTTTTTAAGATTGTCACCGACACAGCTTAAAACACCCGAGGAATCGTCCATCGCTGCTTCCTCAACACAATACTACGAGGCACAATATTCCTTTACCTGGATATGAATAGTAGATTAACAGTGGTTGTTACAACTTATCGACCGGAGAAATTCTTCGTTATCTTGGAAGCATATAATTCTGCTGATGCCTGAATAATTGGGTTCCAATGGTCTAATAATAATTCTTTTACATACTTCTTTTCTGGAGCTCTTCTGTTGAGATTTAACGTCAAGATACATACAAGGACATTTCATTTGACTTCGCATAACAATTCTGCAATTGATGTGATATCATTCTCAAACCACAAACCCACATTCATCGCTAACATTCACTGAGTACAGAACAATTGCAATCGGGCCTTCATCGCCAGTGAACAAATACTCTATACTTACAACCCATCTGGAAGTATTCACTCTGCTTTACCGTTCACTTAGCCGTTAATGCCTATATTTCTAATCAGTTTTACAACTTACGCCGAGAGGACTTTCGTTTGTAGTTCGGAACAATTTCCTATACTTCGGGGTCTGAACAATTGGGTTCGGCCTTCTTCAGCGCTTCAAAGGTACTTCAACATAATATTTTACCGGATATTCCTCGAAAAATTTACGTGGCTCTAAAGACGATAAAATCATTACATTCAAGTAATGTTCAGTTTATGGCCTATTTACCAATGGGCCCAGTCATTCGATCAGGACAGGACAGGAACCAGCGACGAAACAGGCACGCGCCTGACATGCATCAGCCAACGGAAAATTTGACACAACTTGACTGCGAATAACCGAGCAAGTAATGGCTCAGCTAATTGCCATTCAGTGGATAGGCGGCAGTGTTCCAGGACGTGTTGGGTTTTACCAGTCAAGCGTTCACCATATAAAAAGTCACAAATGTCCGTTTAACAACACTGCGACGTGGAGGATGTGACTCGCCCGTGAATAAAGTTACAGCCCATGACTTAACACTGGCAAGTCAACAAGCGCGACTTTCACAGTCCTTGAAACATTCACTACGCTGACACTTCCGCATCTTCATATTTCGTCCTCATTTCTCTTCTATGATTTCACCGGTAATCTTCGCGTTACGTACACATGAACCCAGAGTATCCTCACATCTCCAGCGACCTTGCTCTTCAAATATCTTTTAATCTATCATCCGGAATTCTTGATCGTTTTTTGGGTGGTGTATTACTGCAATATTTGACAGGCTGTGTATGTCCTTACAAACGTATCATGATCTCGCGACAGTCCAATCGATTCTTTTTACATTTGCACAAATTGTACCGTTTCAATCATGAACGTCTAAAACATTTCCTACTGTCACTGTTACCATTGCCAAGAAACGTCTGTACAGTTGCACCTATCTGAACAAGCCACCGTGAGTGTGCCTCGCATAGTCGGGAATAAATGTTAATTTGTTTATCTAAAAAGAAAACTAAGATCAGATGAAGTTTACGATTTAAGGATTCAGTGCAGGTCTTGCAACAACGCTGCAATTTTAGGTTTTCAAAAATATTAGCTACTACACATACTCCCCATAGGTTTGAGAATAAAACTGATAAAATCTCACACAATGAACATTT